TTTCATATAGCTGTAACCACCCAGCAGCTCAGGTCCTGCAAGACACACCACCCCAATTCATTCCTAACTGCACAGCCACCTTTCTCCCTACCAAAGCCACTAAGCTAAACCACCTGCTGTGGGCTCCTTCAAGGAACTGTTCATCCCAGCAGAGGTCCTTTCCATAAACCCTCTGAAGCCAGGAGAGCGTCGCCTGCCTCTCCTGTATCCCTCAGGACCTCTCTGGTGCACTATGCTCACAGGTGGACCTTGACAAATGCTTACTTGTGAAAGAATGATGCAGACGCTTGTTTTAATTCCAAGACATCAGCGAATTGAGGAGATTTTGCTCACAGCTATCATCAGGCTCAAATACACCAAACTGGAACCATGCAAATTAAACACTCAAAGAAAAACTGAGTCTGTCTTCCTGGCTTGTCCTGTCATCATTGTTCTCATGCTGTATATGAAAAGATGTATCATATATCTCCAAGATTAACGTCCGCTCCCTATGAAACAATGTTATCTGTTCGATCAGGCTTTTCTCCAGCTGTCTTCCTGGCCTATCCTTTCGTATCCTATCCCCTCCCCACTCGCTGCCTTTCCCGCGCCTTCCCATCGCCTCGGCCTTGCCCAGGGTCTCCTCTATCGTGTTTCTGTAGTTTTCTCTTTCTGAGAGTGGATCAAGGGAATGTCCAAAGCAGATCCTGAGCACTGAGAGTCAGGAACTGGACTGGAAACCAGCATTGTCTCCCCAGACCTCAGACTGAGGACCTGCTATAAAGAGTAACAGCAGGAGGCTCAGAATTATAGCTTCAGTGGCTTTAGAAAAATTAATGAGATCTTGGTTTTTTTGGCCAAGTTTCTCTTTCATTAACTAAAACATTTTCTATCAATTTTTATTTGGTAGATAAAAATGCAAGTATGAAAACATAATTTTAAAAAATGCCACAAAGATTGAAAGTTCATAATGTCTAAATGTAAATATTTTTAGATCTTTTATTATTGCTTGCTATAATAAAATATAATAACTATGGGTGAGCCTATAGGGGTTTTAGGATAGATTTTCATGTTGTCTAATGTTGTTTAGTACTTAGGAAAAATAGGTGATCCAAGCAAGATCTGATGTTTTTCAGTCTCATCCCTTTTGATGTCATTATTGGAGGCACTGGATGTCTGTGAAGTGGGAAGAATGATGCAAGAGGGAATAGGCTGATGTTGAAAGGAAAGATCACCTAGGGCCCAGATAAAAAGGTGACATGTGAACTACATATTCCACAAACAGGGCCTAACATGCTTAATCTCAAACGCTGGAAAAACACACGTGACTCACTCCTTAGCCACATCCATGATACAAGGTAGTAATGACTCCTGGGAAGGGGCTGTCCTGTTACTAAATGTCTAGGGACATTCTGGCAAGTTTGCAGGACATTCTGGCTGCAGTTCTGCCTCCATGGCCAACTATGGGCTCCTCTGAGAGGGGTGGGTGGTCACAGCTGGTGTAACACGCTAAAGGGAGAATGGGAACTAGGGAGAGGGAGCTCTGGCATTCTCTTGGGCTAGAACTTGGCAGGTTCAGGTATCTTCAACATCACAGGAACTGGGGAGTGAGGAAGCTCTCGCCAGTGAACCATAAACATGGAAGATTTGTCCAAAGGCTACTGTGCTCCCTGGTGCCATCAGTAAGTCTCTGCCTTTGGTCATTCCATAGCTTTGAGGAAAGCCTCTCCTGAATAACGGAGCCTTGGCTGGACTGGGCTCTAGGGCATGAGTGAAAGACCCATGCTTCTCTGTTTAAGCCAGCTTTATTCAAAAGGAAATGATAGTCCCCACTCCCATCCCTACTCCACCCAGGGTGGAGGCAGTGGCAGGACCACACATGAGATCCTCCACAGGACAGCGAGCCTTGGGGGACCAACACCAGGGCTATGAGATTCAGATGCTCCTCCTCCCAGGACATTGTCTTACTAACATGAACTTTGAAGGTCCTGGTTATTATTTTTTATAACATTGGGGATGGGAGATAATTACTTATAGACACTACTGTTTCCTAAATGAAATCTAGTAAGTAATATGAAAATAAAAGAAGGCAATTCCCCAGCCCCTGGAGTAATCTTGCCCTGTGCTGAGGTGCTCATTAAAACTTAAAATATCCATGGACTAATGCAAGTTCTCCCAAAGACTGACCACCCAGGGGAAAAAGGCATCTCAACAAACTCAGTGAGGGTGTGAACAAAATACAGCACATGCTCCAAGGTTCCAAGAGAGAAGAGATCCCACGATGGAAAGATGGTAGCATGCTTGTGGTTTAACAGCATTTCCTTTTCCAGAAAACATCAGCATTTTGAAAGAGAATTTAATTCTTGTATTTGTAAATACCTCAGTGGTATCTTACAGTATTATTCAATCAGCTACATATTCCGTTTTTCATCCTATGACTTATTTTTTATGTTTTGTTTTTGTTTTTGTTTTGAGATGGAGTCTCGCTCCATCACCCAGGCTGGAGTGCAATGGTACTATCTCTGCTCACTGCAACCTCCACCTCCCAGGTTCAAGCAATTCTCCTGCCTCAGCCTCCTCAGCAGCTGGGACTACAGTGCCACTATGCCCAGCTAATGTTTGTCTTATGACTAGAAACAGGGTTTCGCCATGTTGGTCAGGCTGATCTCAAACTCCTGACCTCAGGTGCTGTCATGACTTTTAAATGCTTAGTACGTTGCATGGAACACACTAGGCCCTCAGTCGTTGTCAAATTGAATCAAACTTTAAAAGAAAATATCAACAATGGTATTTCTGAATTTCAAACTTGCTGAGGGCAAGAATGAGAATGTTGAACTTATCCCCATATGCCAACCCAAGAGAATTGAATAGAGAGTATGCAATAGCCACTCAAGAAATGTTGAAATTAATTTCATGAAACAAAATTTAACAAAACAAAAACCCTGCCTTTTTAAGCATCTGGTGGAAATCACAAGTTTCTTTTTTTTTTTTTTTTTTTTTTTGAGATGGAGTCTTGCTCTGTCGCCCAGGCTGGAGTGCCGTGGCCGGATCTCAGCTCACTGTAAGCTCCGCCTCCCGGGTTCACACCATTCTCCTGCCTCAGCCTCCCGAGTAGCTGGGACTACAGGCACCCGCCACCTCGCCCGGCTAGTTTTTTGTATTTTTTAGTAGAGATGGGGTTTCACCGGGTTAGCCAGGATGGTCTCGATCTCCTGACCTCGTGATCCGCCCGTCTCGGCCTCCCAAAGTGCTGGGATTACAGGCTTGAGCCACTGCGCCCGGCCAGAAACCGCAAGTTTCTTTCTCATTTGGATGTAGTTTGCCCATGCTTGCCTCAGTTTGACTCCGGTTTCTCAAACTGTTTTTTTTTTTTCCTTTTTTTTTATACAACATTCCTGACATTGTGTCAAAAATACATTACCAAATAGCAGCCTTAAGACAATCAGCAGAACATCTGAATCATAAGTAAGATATAATTCTGGAATTCGAGATGCAAATAGGCCACTTTTTCTTGAAGTATCTGAACCAAAAACACAGAGTAAGTATAATAAAACAACACAAGGCCAGGTGCAGTGGTTCACACCTGTAATCCCAGCACTTTGGGAGATCGAGGCAGACAGATCACCTGAGGTGAGGAGTCTGAGACCAGCCTGGCCAACATGGTGAAAATTCATCTCTACTAAAAATACAAAAATTAGCCGGGCATGGTGGCAGGCGCCCGTAATCCCAGCTACTGTGGAGGCTGAGGCAGGAGAATTGCTTGAACTCGGGAAGCAGAGGTTGCAGTGAGCCAAGATTGTGCCATTGCACCCCAGCCTGAATGACAGAGTGGGACCCTGTCTCAAAATAATAATAGTAATAACAATACTAAAAACACAGAAGATTACAGAGACTTGAACTATATAGATATGGTGAATGTTTGCAGTGTTGAATTAATAAAACAGATACTTGCTGTACAATGATCTTTACTTCTGATAAGTTGAAAACTGTTTCTAGCCTTTATAGGTCAGAACAATGGATTGGATATGTAATAACTTTTATCACCTAACAAAAGGATGGTTATTCATTAAGATAATCAACATCTCTGTAACTAACTAAATCATTTTCCCTTCATCCATTCCTTTTATTGAAATGTTTGTGTTTTTATTTCAAGATGTATTCGTATGCTATGATTTTGGGGTCTTACAATGAAAATTTCGGGAGCAACTAACAACTGTCTGTGCGCTGGAGCACGGAAACAGTTTTCCTCTTCCTTACCTGTGGAAGAATAACAGCACAACCATGAAATGATGACACGCTGAAATGTTAAGACAGCTGGGGAAATCTCTGTACCTAATTCGGGCTCCTTCATATTTGGGGGCCTATCCCTACCACTGCTGTCTATCCAGCCTGTGTGCAGTTTGAAAACTTCTTGACTTTGACTCCTAAAAGAAACAACAAAAAGGATTTTTGGTTTGTTTGTTTGTTTGACCCCTACCACAATCTACTTGGTCTGCCCATTTCTGGAAGAAACTGAAACCCAGGTTCTATCTTCCTACAGCCAATATTCCTACAATCCCCTCATCTCCATGGAAGCTGATGCCACAGATGCTGTTTTAGGTGCAATGGTTTGGTCCATCTGCAGAATTTGAACTTCAGTGGCTATATCAGGGCTCCAATGTGGTTAGGTTTTTAGTTTTTTGGTTCTTTTTTATTAACCTATAAAATGCCAACAGTTTAAAAATTCATTATCAATGTCAAAAGAAAAAAAGGAAAGATCTGGTGTCCCTGGGCATGCATTTCCGAATGGCCGAGCAGTAGCTGCCCCCTTAAACCAGGCATGGCCTCTTCAATTTGAGCCAGTCCCTGCCACTCCTACAGCTCCCCGGCCACCACATTCCTTTTCTTTCCCTGTCTGCTTCCTGGAGGCTGATGAGCCCAAGACCTCTTATCTGCACTAATGTTACCGGTGCAGGGTGTCTGGGTTCTTGGTGTCTTGAACAAAGAATTGGACAAGATGCACAAACAAAGCAAGGAAAGGATGAAGCAACAAAAGCAGAGATTTACTGAATGAAAGTATGCTCCACAGAGTGCGAGTGGCCCAAGCATAGGGGCTCAAGAGCCCCATTACAGAATTTTCTGGGGTTTAAATACCCTCTAGAGGTTTCCACTGGTTACTTGGTGTACGCCCTATGTAAATGAAGAGGATGAAATAAAGTTACAAGTCATTTACTCAGGGTATGCCCTATGTAAATGGAGAGGATATTTCCTGTCATAGCTGAAGTGTTTCCATTTGATTTAGTTCTAGGAAGTCAGCGTGAATCAGCCTTATGTTCCCTGCCTCCAGACCCCCTTCTCCTGCCTCACATAGACCTTGATTAGTAGATCAAGTGAGCACAGCAATGTCCACCCCACATTTACACAGTTGCTGTCTGGACCTGCCGTGTCTGGTAGGGTAGCCACTAACCATACATGGCCACCGAGTGTGTGAAATGTGGCTCTTGTGACCACAAAACAGAATTTTTAATTTAAACATAAAATGATCACATAAAGTTCTATTGGATGGTTCTGGTCTAGACCATGAGAGATTATAAGATTGAAAGACTTCGTTAACCACATGCAAATGCTGGTCTGTTATTGTTTTCCCTGGGATCAGAATGGGCACCTTCATTTTAGATGCTCTTTGGGGAGCCCCTGCATACCACCAGTACTCCGTATCTTACTGACCAGAGAAGTTGGTGGGGCCAAACAACTCCGAAACTCCCCAAACTCCCTTCCTCTCGTCTACTCCCAATGCCCAGGGCATGGAAAACCACTAGAAGTCATTTACATACTGAAATTTAAGAGGACCCAAAGTAACTGATCTTCAGAGCCTTCCTTCTCTACTTGCCGTCTTGCTTTCCAATCACTTGAGATCATGGAGGACACCTGTGGAAAACATAGAGGGTTCCTGGGAGACGTCTAATACATGGGCCCTTTCTCACCTGTTGGGCTCAACTGCCGATATGTACTCTATGGACTGGCCTAGCAAACAGAGCAAACCCCTGAGAGAAAGAGACGAAAGGAATTTCTAAGAAGAGGGTATGAGTTGATCTTGGGGCTTTTCCTGAGAGAATCGGGGCCCAATGCGGATGCCAGTGGAAGGCAGGGACCCTCAGGGAGCAGAGGCAGAAGCGGGAACAGCCCCAAAGGCACAGCAGAGTGCTTAGGGAGGAGCAGAGATCAAAGGCTGACTCAAAGGCTTCCCAACGCCGCGTGAGAAGGGGCTGTGGTCTCCCGCAGCTGTGTGGTGCTTGTGCTTCCACTAAAATGCTTGGAACAGAAGCCCTTTCCCTACTGTCCCCTTCTGCTCCCAAAATACAACCAACACCTCTCCTCTCAGCTTCTTCTGGGTGATTTATAAAACAAATTACAACCAGTGAGGACTTGGAGGATGAGTTCCTGAGCACTGGTGAATATGGAAATATGGCTGGTTATCCCACGTATTGAATTTGTTTGATTAGCCACTTGTTTGATTAGCCAGTGTTTGATTGAGCACTATATTGTCATAGGCTCACTGACAAGGAGAAAAGCAAGAATAATTCCTTACATAGCATCTTCTATATATGCTCAGACATGATAAAACGTTCACTTCACCTATTCCCTTGATAATACTGTTACTAATATCATCCCTTTTCTACAGATGAGAAAATTGAAGCTCAGAGAAGCTAAGCAATTTGACAATGGCCCCACTGCCAACACGTGGCAGAGCCAAGACTCAAACCCAAACTCAAATCCTATGCTTATGTCATGGTCAGGACGTTATAAGAAGACAACACTGTACAAGTAAACAAAGCTATCTATCTTCTTGTGAAAAATGGAGTCATTTCTGAAAGCAAATACCAGGAGTACACAGTGAAGGCATCTGGATGAATTCTAAGGCATTGGGAAACACGCTAGTGTCTGGAAAGGCAGGTGGGGTCTCCGCAATGCCCTGGTGTGGAGACTTGGCGTCTGTACTAGCCAGTGAGCGCTGCTACTGCACCTGAAGTGCCTGAGAGCTGTCTCCCCGTTCCTGACTTCAGGGGGTCCCTGCAACTGTGAAGCAAAAGCACGTGCAGCTTCCTGAATTTCATTCCCAGAGGTTTTCATCTTTCCCTTAAAACATTCCAGAATTCAGATTGATTGAGTTCATCGATGCAGAGAAATGTTCTTTAATGCTTGGCCCTCCTCACGGTGCATACCCCCACACCCTAAGGGGAGCTTTCCCTGTGGACATGCTTGGAAGTATACCATGGATTACAGTTGATTTTGCTAGGAGATTTCCATGAAATTTCCTGACTCTAGGACTTGCGAAACATTGGAAATTGAAGTTCTGTTGCCAGAGGAGTTTGTGGAATTTTGTTCTGTGGAAACAGAATTATGGAATTTTAAGGCTAGAAGAAATCTTCCAAGTCCACTCCTACCAAAGGCCGGGCTGAATGCAAACCCTCGCTGACAGACGCTGTGGCTGAAACATGCTTCTCCTTCCTAGCCTGTAGCTTTCACCCCCAAACAGACACGTGTAAGAAGAAAAGTCATAAATATTTCCTTTACCCAATTCTCTTCTTCATCTTTTCAGTTTATTATTTCTTTTCCTTTTGGAAACAGCAACCATGCTCAGGTTTTCTATCTGGATTTCACCTTGTCTTTGCCAAATCAAGAAAAAGCGTAAATGAAAAAGTAACTACGATGGGACTGAGAAGAAGGGGAGCAGGTAGGCCGGTGAGGACTTGCTTCCTCAGTCTGCGCTGTCTGCTGCCGGGAGGAGGCTCCCACCTCCTCAGAACCCCCAGGTCTGTTGCCCGCCCTGAGCGCAAGTGGAAACAGTGGCCTGAGTCTGCAGCACCCGTCTCTCCCTTCGGATCAACTGATCACACTGTGCTGGCCTCAGCCAGAAGCTGCAAGGAGGGTGGAGCAAAGCAGATGTTGAAAGAGAGGTGGGTTTGGAATAAAATCGTTGCGCATGCCCTCTTCTTTCCTTGGACGCCTGTGTGGTTCAAACGCGCCTGAGGCCTCCAAAACGCAAGCGCAAGCCTTAGCTGCAAATCACTGTTTTTACCAAAAACTTATGAACAGTAGCAGGGAATTACTGTCGTCTCGGCTGTGCTGTGGGGAATTAAGGGACATAAGAAGGAGCATTGAAGCTGGGCTGGGGGGCAGGGGAATATGACTCCCCATAAGGCAAAGGAGACCATGACAGCTGTCGTTAATAGGAGGGTGTAGGGAGAAATGCCCCGGCAATGGAGCAGCCTGCCTGAAGGCTTCCTCCTCGTGGCCTCCTGGAGAACCTTGGGTGGATTTTTTCCAGGGCACTGGTGGGTTGCCTGACAGGTCGTCAAGTGAAAAGAAGAGTCAACCTTTCCTTTTTGGCTCCCAAAGCATAAACTAGGGTGACCCTATGGAGCAATAAACTACAGCTCAATATATAGAGAGTCATTCGAAAAATTACAGACTTCCAAAGATAGAATTGTCTCCTGAAGCCATAGTGACCTCCCATTGTCTCAAATGTTCAAACAGAAAGTCACTGTGCGGGGAAGCGAAGAACAGGTGGAGCGCAGAGGATGTGGGAGCTGTGGAAATACTCTGTGTGATACCATGATGGTGGACATGTGTCATTATACATTTGCCCAAGCCCACAGCATGTACAGCACCGCGAGGAAACCCTCAGGGAAACTATGGACTCTGGGTGATGAGGGTGTGCCAATCGGTAGGTTCGTCCATTATAACAATTGCTCCACTCTGGTAGGGGATGTTGATAATGGGGGAGGCTGTGTATGTGTCAGGCAGAAAACACATAAGAAATCTCTGTCTTCCTCTCAATTTTCCTGTGAACTTAAAACTCTAAAAAAAATTAAGTCTTAAAACAAAAAGTCAATCTGAAAAGCAGGTAAGAGAAGGAATTCCTTGGTCAGTTGTGGGCTTCGATTGGTTGACCTGTGAGTTTCTTACATAAATTAGAGAATACTGGAGCTAGAGAAGTACATCTTAGAAGGTAATCCTTCCAGACATGTTGTTCTAAAACTTTGATCTGCTTTCTTTCTAAACAACTAGACTTCCTTCTCTTGAGCTTGCTAAAAGATGTGTCCCCTCCCTACCCTGCTCACCAAACTCTATGATGAACTGGTCAGCCCTGAAGGAAAACTATAAAGAATAAAACGAATGACTTCATACGGGACTGGCCTTTGCATTCATGTCCAGAGCACAGAGGAATCCAATCACCAGGAACTTGTCAATTGACAGCAAAACTCAGACTCAGTTTCACAAAAATGTCTAAAAGCTATGTTATACAAGGTTTTGGGCAATAAGTGTATCCTCTGAAAATCTCAAAGTGAGGACGCAGAAAAGTTGGAATTCACGTACACTGCTGACCTGACATGGATGTAAAATGGTACAGCAACTTAGAAAACAGTTTGACAGTTCCACAAAATATTAAGCACAGAGTTACTATGGCCAACAATGATCCAACAATTCCACTCCTGAAGTCTTTGAACCACTTATCATTTTCCAAAATTCTTCCATGTATTTGTTTGGTAGCTTGCTGTCTCTGTCATCCACCAAAACTTATCTGTCCAGTAGAAAGGCCACCAGCCACACTCCAAGTGTTCAGCAGCCACATGAGGCAGTGGCTACTGGATTGGACAGCACAGTACAATCATCACTGTCAGAATGTCCTGTGGGATAGCGCTGCACTGGCATGCAAGCTCCATTCAAGCAGGCTCCTTATTTGTCTTGGTCGCTGCTATTTCTCCAGCATCCAGAACAGTGACTGACATACAGTAGGCTCAATAAAGGGTAAGTAATGAATGAATGAGTTGAATGAATGAACTGAAGTTGAATGAATGAATGGCACTTGGGTGGACAACACTGGAAAACGAGGTGAAGGAATGCTGGAACAATCCGAACAGGAGTGAAAATGGAAGCAAGAAAATAAAGTATTTGTTTAGGTTCTTCTCCTCATCTCTTTACTCCAATATTTTATAATTTAATCATGATAGTCTTAAGAGAATATTTTAATTATTGGATCTTAGCGTCTTTCCTAGTATTCTCCTATTGGAGAATGTGTTGACTAACATAATTTGACAAATGACATACCATTGTGAAAATGTATAGAATGTTGTGAATTCTTTAGTTTGCCATTAATTTCATTTCCAATTCCAATAGGGAGTACTATTGACATGGTAGAAATTTAGGTTGATGAAGAGCCTTTGACTCCTAGAGAATTTTTTAATAATCATTCATTTTTATCAAACTTCAGAGGTCATTCTTATTTTATAGCTTTTTTCTGTAAATAATACTGAGTTCTAAAAATAGAAATTAAAAGATAATCATATATTCAATAAACAGGTGACATTTCATTGTTTTCCTACTTTGTTCTTGTTTTTTGTTTTCATTTGGTTTAGTTTGTTTATATTGGGTGTTGAGACTGAAAACTTTTACTTAAGGTCTGATTGTAACTTTGCTACCATCTTCTGGCAAAATAATGACCATCTTAGGATCTTTGACTAGAATGAGTTTCCACAATTTTGTTTATTTCATGTTATAAACTGCTTTCACCTGCATCCTACTGCAGCTAAAGCAAAACCTATTAAAAGGCAAAGATAGCAGAGGAAAACAAGATCACAGAATCTCTGTTCTCTAATACCTGAAGAAATGCAAAATTTTAAATGTTTGAATACCCAATATACAATAGTGGCAACTAAAACAAAATGGCAGTCAGGGGGGAAAAAAAGCAGAAAATTCAGAAGGAAAATTTTTGTTTGTTTGTAGAGATGGGGTTTCACCATGTTGCCCAGGCTGGTCTCGAACTCCTAGGCTCAAGCGATCCCTCCCACCTTGACCTCCCAAAGTACTGGGATTACAGGCGTGTGCCCTATGCCTGGCCAGAAGGAAAAATTCTAAGGAAAACCCTCAGTGATGCCCCCATCATAGCCTTGCCAGAGGCAGAAGGCAGAAGTGTTGTCCGGTCTCCTCCAGGGAACTGGGCTGAGTTGAGGGAACAGGTGAAGCCCATCAGGGTGGCTGGCACCCAGCAATGGCTGGGTGGAGTGAGTCCCAGCAGGACATGTCAATGGCTCCGAAGAAAATAAAAGCCCAGGACCCCCACCAATGACTGCACTTGATCCCCAAAGAGCTGATCCTGCCTACTACACCCTCCTCTCCACAAAGAACATGGACTGCGGGTGTACAGAAAATGAAGGTAAAGCAACAACCACCCATCCAACCATCATTCAGAGAGTTAAGACTAATGGGTCCTAAATGAGATAGGGAGAATGTCCAGGAGAATTTACCCACCCTATATAAGAGGAACTAGGCTTGGACAGAATTGTCCACATTAAACATGATATGTAGAGAAATGCCACAATGGAATACTAAAGTAATAAATGTGAGTAAGCTATAACCACACACAACAGCATGGACGGACCCCACACACAACAGCAGAGATGGACGCCACACACAACAGCATGGACGGACCCCACACACAACAGCATGGACGGACCCCACACACAACAGCATGGACGGACCCCACGCACAACAGCATGGACGGACCTCACGCTACCTGCAACAGCATGGGCTGGACCCCACGCACAACAGCATGGGCCGGACCCCGCTGCAACAGCATGGGCCGGACCCCACGCACAGCAGCATGGGCCGGACCCCGCACACCAACAGCATGGGCCGGACCCCACACACAACAGCATACATGGGCGTCACACACAACAACATGGACAGACCCACCGCACAACAGCAGAGACGGACCTCACGCACAAAATGCTGATGAGAAACAACAGCATGGACGGACCCCACGCACAACAGCATGGACGGACCCCACACACAACAGCATACATGGACGTCACACACAACAGCATGGACAGACCCCACGCACAACAGCAGGGACGGACCTCACGCACAAAATGCTGATGAAAGAAGTTCAGTGCAAAAGGATGCATCCTAAAAATTCTATTTAGATATCATGCCGTGAGAAGTCAGAATCCTGACTCCTCTTGTAGGGGGTAGATGTGAGCAGGGCATGTCTGTCTCTAGTGAACAGCACATTACATCTCTCCCAACTCCTGACAATGTTACCCCAATTGCCTTCTTATTGACATTCCGTATTTTTTTTAACTCTTGGTGCATATCAATTCTGTAACAAACTCTTTACATATTGAAAATAATACAATATGGTATCATGCTATCCACAAGTCATTCACTGCAAAAAAGGCCTCATTGTGCAGCGATCATTCCTCAGAAAGACATTTTTGAGGGTAGTGACGGCAGTTCATCAGTGGAGTTCAGTGGTCTCCCCCCATGAATTTGCTAGATCCTATCTCTCAAAATTGCTTCGTCTGAGGTCCCGTTAGTGACCCCGCAGTGAACCAGGGCACACACCAAGGTCACTTCCACCTTCGTCTAACCATGAGATATTGCTGTGACTTACCCACTCTGGTCCAAGTTCTTAGTTACAGACAAGACAATCCAATCCAGTTGGTTAAAGTACAAACAGATTTGTTAGTGGGTACATGGAGCTCACAGAATACAAGGGCTAAAAGGAAGACTGAACTTCCAAGAATGAGTGCCAAACCACACTGAACCACCAAGGAAGCTGCTACCCCTCATCAACAGGCAATGCAGAATCAGAAAGCTACTGCTCCTGTTAGCCAAGAACACAGAATCAGAAAGCTGCCGCAGGCTGGGCACAGTGGCTCACGCCTGTAATCCCAGCACTTTGGGAGGCTGAGGTGAGCAGATCACCCGAGGTCAGGAGTTCGAGACTAGCCTGGTCAACATGGTGAAACCCCGTCTCTACTAAAAATACAACAATTAGCCAGGCATGGTGGCACACACCTGTAGTCCCAGCTACTAGGGAGGCTGACGCAGGAGAACCGCTTGAACCCGGGAGGTGGAGGTTGCAGTGAGCCGAGATCACACCACTGCACTTCAGCCTAGGCAAAAGAGCGAGATCCTGTCTCAAAAACGAAAAAAAAAGAAAGCAAGCTGCCACAGACTGCTTGACTCACTGGTGCTATACCCACAGCACCGGCACGGAGGCTATTGACATCAGTGACCTGCCAGCCACACAGTTGCTTCTTAAACTGTTTGCTCACAGATTTCTGGAAGACAGTGCTTTCCAAACCTAAAGATGCCTACAAATCACCTGGGGTTCTTGTTAAAATCATAGATTCTGCTTCAGGAAATCTGAGGTGGGGCCTGAGTTCTACATTTCTAATGAGCTCCCAGGTAAGATAGATGCCGCTGCTCTCATTCTTTAAGGAACAACACTAGGAGACATCAGCCGAATGAAATCAAGCCCTATAACCCCTTTCACCTCAATCCCACCAGTGTTCCAAGCCCCTGGAGCATCTGTCATTTGGTCTCTCACCCCTCACACTACCCTGGATACCGCTAACCAACCCTTGAAAACTACACCAGAGAAATCTTACAGACACCACCTTGGCAAAACTATCAAAGTTGTCACCAGTAATAGGACAAACAAACATCATGTACCTCCTGATAAGATGTACTGAGAAGCCTGTATCGCTTCTGTGGTATCGCTGTCAAAAATGCATAACCGGAATTTAATCATCAGCATACATCAGACAACCCAAACTGAGAGACATCCTACAAAATAAATGACACGTACGTTTCCAAAATGTCAAGGTCAAGAAAGAGTAAGTACTTCAATTCAGAGGAAACAGAAACATGACCAAACACACACACACACACACACACACACACAAAACAGAAACATGACCAAACACACACACACACACACACACAATAATAATAATGGGAGATCTGGATTGGATCTGAGACCAAAATGAGATAGTGGTGGACAAAGCTGGTGGGACAGTTGTAAAATCAGTACATTAGATAATCATATCAATGTTATTTTCCTGCATTTGATAATTGTACTGTGGTTACATAAGATATTAACAATTTGAGTGAAGTAAGAATTTGAGTGAAGTACTTACAGAAATCCTTTATACTGTTTCTACACTTTTCTTTAAAGTCTGAAGTTACTGCAATACAAAAAGAACTTGGCCGGGTGCGGTGACTCACACATGTAATTCCAGCACTTTGAGAGGCAGAGGCAGATGGATCACCTGAGCCCGGGAGTTTGAGGCAGGTGGATCGCCTGAGCCCAGCCTGGCCAACACGGCGAAATCCCGTCTCTACTAAAACTACAAAAATTAGCCAAGCATGGTGGCACACATCTGTAATCCCAGCTACTCTGGAGTCTGAGGCAGGAGAATCGCTTGAACCCGGGAGGCAGAGTCCGTGCCAGCAGACTGGACCTATGAAGCCTCCATGCATAGAGTATTAGCCTGCACTAACACTAACACTAACAAACACGACCAAATGTGCACTAACACTGCCAGATAACCTTTCTTCATGTCACTGGCAAACTCACAATCCCACTGTTGAAGAAATCAAGTTTGGATTGTGTTTGGAATTGTGCTTTTGGAGATACTTCACTGATGGCATTCCAATTGGCCGTGCTCGGCTAATTGTTAGAGTTGGCTATTTATGAAGGACTGAAGATAAATTCTAGAAAATATAGCCTCACTTTATTTTATATAAAAGTTAAAAATTAATATCCTGGCTGAGCATGTTGGCTCACACCTGTAATCCTAACGCTTTGGGAGGCCAAGGCTGGGGGATTGCTTGAGCCCAGGAGCTCCAAACCAGTCCAGGCAACATAGCAAGACCCCATCTCTACAAAAAGTAAAAACAAAAAAATAGTCATGGTGGCATGCATCTGTAGTCCCAGCTACTTGGGAGGCTGAAGCGGGGGAATCAGTTGAGCCCGGGAGTTCAAGGCTATGATGAGCTATGACCAAACCACTGCACTCCAGTCTGGGTGACAGAGTGAGACCTTGTTTCAAAAACTAAAATAAAACAAAGTATCTTTCCCCACCCCTGCTAATAGTTCCCTGTGAGCTGGTTTATTTACTACACATAAACAAAACAGAAACAGTTTAGATACACATTATCCCCTGTGACTGTCATCAACTCAATCTAGATAAGTTTTAACAAGAAACAAGGCCGAGACGGGCGGATCACGAGGTCAGGAGATCGAGACCATCCTGGCTAACACAGTGAAACCCCGTCTCTACTAAAAAATACAAAAACCTAGGCGGGCGAGGTGGCGGGCGCCTGTAGTCCCAGCTACTCGGGAGGCTGAGGCAGGAGAATGGCGTAAACCCGGGAGGTGGAGCTTGCAGTGAGCTGAGATCCGGCCACTGCACTCCAGCCTGGGCGACAGAGCGAGACTCCGTCTCAAAAAAATAAAAAAAATTATTCCTTGCTAAACCTAATAATAAAACATTAAGACTTATATTTTATATTTTTAAATTGTTTTCTAATAATTTATTTGTATTTAACAAAAGTAGTGGTCCACAACCCTTTGGAAATAACCACAATTTGAGAAGCAATGCAGTCGCCTTTGATATTCCCTAGATGGCCACTAGGTGGTGCCCAAGGATCTTCTTCCCGGCTGGTTGCGTGATCTTTGCAATGGCATGCTCATGATAAGGCGCTTGGCAGTGTATAAGTGATAAGGCGCTTTTCCAGTGTAGACGGGCAGAATTGTCAGACCTTTCCTACCTGTCAAGTCCACAGAGAAGGCAACTTACTCTCCTTTGTAGGGGACATCTATAAATAGTTGAAGTTGACTTACACAAATGAAGACATATTTTCATGTTTCACCAATTGTTGGGAGGCTTCCCAAATGAATAAATACAAGCATCTCTAAACACCAAAGCTGTTACAACTATTGTTGTATCAAGAAGACTATTTGAGAGCCTTTGTTCAATAATAGTGACAGGAGCCAACCACATCCAGGACAAATTATAAAGGAAATCTACAAAGTCTTTCCAATGCCCGCATCTCCCAGAATCAGGAGGGCAGTGGAATGGCAGAACAGAATTCTGAAAAATACCTGGCTGATATCAGTCTATAAACGAGACCTCGAGAGGCAATCCTTGCATGCAGTCCTCATAAATATGAGCTCCACAGTCAACAGAAAGGCTCTCCCACACACAATAGCCCAGTACAACACTTCCCGCTGCTCCCTGGGGAGCCACTCACAAGACACTCCTATATTTAAACATACGTTGAATGCTATTAAAAAAACGCACCTGAAATATATCAAAGCTTTCCATTCAGAGATCTGAGAATCCAACCCTTATGAGCCCTGCCACAGCTACAACCTATGTGAAAGTTCAGCAGAGAAATTTATTCCTTCAGCCTCACTAGGACAGTGCTAACAAAGACCAGCTTTTCAACAACACATAAATTGTCAAAGCCTTTAGATTTCAATACATTCTTCCCCTGTAACACTTCTGCACCACTGAGGCAGACAGCAAGAAGAATGCAGACCTGGACCACAAGAATGCAGACCTATGGCCAAGGTCGACATCAAGAATGCAGAGCTGTGTAGGGCCAAGGTTGACATCATCCCTTGAGATGACTTGTCAAGGTTTCCAGGCCTGCCACTTGTGACTAGAAGTCTGATTTCCAACTTGTGTACCTGCCTTGAGGGTTTGCTCTGGCCATGCTTCAAGTTTGTCAACCCAAGTCCTCAAAAACTTATAAATCTCCCCATCCAACTCTGACATTGTTTTGCTTGGGGTTGAACGTGCTAGGAATGAATACCCAGTCTGTCAAGGAGAACGCTGTGGAACAGCAGCCACTGGGAATCATCCCTGCGTGGAAACAGGCAATAGCCCTAGTTATTGCCAATAATCTCATGTTCCTGTTGATAATCTTGATTATCTTTGGTAGTGAGACAACACAAAGAGATTATGTAGCCTCGGAATAGATACAAGTTTGCCTATTAAATGTATTTGCTAGTTGATGATTTTAACAGTTGTTTCTGGTCATTGCCAAGACTTTTTAGAGGCCTCATAGGGCAAGAAAGACCAAACACGTTAAAAATATCCAAGCGAAATTCTTTTGCACAAGGTTTGAAAACATTCGTCTTTGACTTTAATCTACAGAACTAGGTAACAGAGGTTTTTAATCCTAATCCATAATAGTTGTCTCTGCTAATCTTATTTGCCCGTTATTAGTCAAGCTCCCAACCTGAAAAACACTCAAATTATGCCAATTCAAAGAGTAAGATTTATTAAAACATATTATTTACAAAGGTGTGAGTGAAGCCTTAGGAAAACAAAAGGGTAACCCTGAGCTAGTAGTAACATAGGAACTAAACATCCCACAGTTGAAAGTTGTAGGGACCGAGTAGTTACTAGAAGCCATAAGAAACTCACATAGAGGAAGTCACCTTGAGAGGAGTGGTGTAAGAAACACAGCCAACCTGAGGTCCTTTCACCATGAATAAAATCCAACCAAACATCCCAGCCTCCCAGGACAGAGAGCAGGGTAAGACTGCATCTAGGGGAATAGATGGAGTATCTAGGGGAACAGATAAAATATATACATATCTGGCACTATCTGAGCCTTTTGCCTTCAGCATTATCTCTTGTCCTTCACCTGGTGGAAAAACTTAGTGCCCAATACCGGGCAAGAATGATGTTCCACCAACTACTACTTCAATACAACTTATTCTCATACTCCCACAGCCTAAAACTTCAGCCAACATTGGTGTTACTCATTTAACTTATTTCAGAGAAAAGGGAGGGAGAAACAATTATGAGGTTTGTATTGGTCATCTTAGCTGCCTCTGCCCTCTGCCCATTCCGAGTCCCGCTTAGCCTCCCCCAGCACCTTCGCTGGGCCAGGGTTCTTTACCAGATGAGA